AATCGGCAAACATATTACTCGATGAGGAGTTGAATCCTCAACTGTCTGATTGTGGTTTAGCTGCTTTAACGCCAAACACTGAACGGCAGGTTGGTGAACATACTTTGGTTTCCCGCATGCATGGCTGGACATGATATCTGTGGATTCTTTTGCCATATGCTCTGTTAGTAAATTTCTTTGTCTTTAACAGGTTTCAACTCAGATGGTTGGCTCATTTGGTTATAGTGCTCCTGAGTTTGCATTATCAGGAATTTACACAGTGAAAAGTGATGTTTACAGTTTTGGAGTGGTAATGTTAGAGCTATTGACGGGTCGGAAGCCACTTGACAGGTGAACCTGGATTTTACATGTTCTAAAGCCAATGTTCATGCTCATCATTTTCATGTTTTGCTGCAATCCATGAGTTCTTAAACTCTTCATCTTAATGATATCTTCGATTGATGTGTAACTTCTATAAGTGTAGTTCACGAGCGAGATCAGAGCAGTCGCTTGTGAGGTGGGCTACTCCCAACTTCATGATATAGATGCCTTGGCCAAAATGGTTGATCCTGCTTGGAATGGCATGTATCCGGCAAGTCACTGTCACGCTTTGCCGATATCATTGCCCTTTGTGTTCAGGTAATGTTTTTTATTTTCAAATGTTCATTAACTGCAATGCTGGGAATCTGGACATTCCATGTGATTTACCATGTTGCATCATGACTTTCCAAGCATGTTACACAGAACTCATTTTTCTCATTTTGCTTGTGTACAGCCGGAGCCTGAATTCCGACCTCCCATGTCTGAGGTTGTGCAAGCACTGGTCCGGCTAGTGCAAAGAGCAAGTGTGGTCAAACGCCGCCCCAGTGACGAATCTGGGTTTGGTCACAAGACCCCAGATCATGAATCCTTTGACATGTCATTTTAAAGGTTTTTTATTTCGAGCCATTTTGATATGATCTTATTTCAATTTGTGTAAAGTGATATGCAGTTTTCTGACAGAACACAGGAAGGAATAGAGAAGTTGTGAAGATGTTTCAAACAGATCCAAGATATTTGTAATTACATGCATTGGAATTTTATTATTACTTCGGATAAAAAAGTACTATGGAAAACATATGTATATTTATTTAACTCGCCTTGATGTTGTATATTGTAGTTTATTATTCTCTCTGTTTTTCCCCCTTTTTTGCTTTTATTAAATTACCGTCTAAAGCGTCTCTTAAAGGTGACTAACTAGCTAGGATTTTTGATTGAGCATGCATATTGAAGGGCCTACTTGTCCTTTTATTCCCTTCCACAATCATGGTGATGATTAGAAGACATAGTTTTTTGAGCAAATATTTCTTTTCTTTAGTGTGTAGCCGTTTTCTTTTTTAGAAGAAAAGGTACCGTTGTTTAACCATTATTTCCATGTTTGACTTCATTAATTAAAAACTAGATTGTGGACCCCAAGAAAAGCATGAAATTGAGATATGGAAGCGAACATCTTAGCGTCGTAACCTAGTTTTATGTTCTCAGAAAAAGAAGGAAGAAAAACTTAGTTATGTTATATATGTATAGAATATGTGTATTATAAAAATAAATATAAGTTTTACATGTTATTTACTTTTGTATATCATGTTGAGGAGTTTGTATTGATGGTCTATGATAATGTAATTTGTTACAAATTGTTTTATATTCTCAGTTTTTATTATAAAATTTCAAATAACTAATTCATAGATAATGAATAACTAGGTAAAATTAATAAAAAATAATAAATGTTAGAAATATATTTTTGTTTCTAAATACATCCTTATAATAAATAAGAAAAAAGATAAAAGAGAATGTAAGTGGAAATGTAGTAAGAAAAAAATAATTAAGGGTAATATTAGAAAAAATATATTGAATGTTAAAACAAATACATAATGAGCTTTTTTCAAGTTTAAAGCTTATAAATAAAATTGGAGAAAGTATTAATTGATAATAGTGCATAAAATCTCAAATGATTACCACTTATAAGTAATGGAGAGTGGGATTTTTTATTAGGTGGTGTTTGGAAAAACATAGAAATGCTTTTTAAAAAGGTAAACTTCACAGTTTACGTCGTGTATCATAAAATTATTTTTAAAACTGTAGTTTTGTTTCCGCAAATACTCCTTAGGTTTCCTTTCTTATAAGATTAGGGTCATTTTTCCAAATAATGATAAGAAGAAAAGATAAGAGAAGGAGAGAATCACCGCCAAACGCTTCCATAATGAATTTGATTGGTAACGTGTTGGCTGCCTAAGTTCTGGTAAGCAACATTATATAAAAATAGTGGTTAGTGCCATTCCCACAATTGAGATCTATCACAAGAGAACCATTTCTTTTTTTGGTTGGAAAAATTACATTACAAGATTATGAAATCTATGATAAAATATTTTAGCTATTTAAATTATGTAGAAAGTCTAAGATATTGATTTGACTAAATTTTCTTTATAACACACACCAAATTATAAATCTTATATTCATCTGAAAACTTGGATTTGGATCCAATAAAAAGCATATTCAGTAGAAATAATTAAATTCCACGTTAATCATCCATTTATAACTTACTGAAATGAATCAAATAATATATCTTACTAGTAATTTATATAATCTAAGGGGTTTAATGGAAAATGGGATAAAACCAACCAAATACAAATAAATGCTTAGTTAAAAGGTTTCATAAAATCTTTTTCTTCTTATTTTTTTTTGGAAATTTTTTTGAAAATTTCTTCTTAATCTTGGTAGTATTACTTATTTGGAGCGAGAGCCTCGTCGCCGGAATTCAGAGTTTCGGACAGCTTTTCTTTCTTCCGTTTGAAGTAGTTCTTCAGATTTCAACTCTTCGTCTTCTTTTTGAAGTAATTCGTATTTCAACTCTACTTCTTCTTGTTCCCGGCATTTGCTTCTCCGGTTTTGGGTCTGACCCGAATCTGAATCATGCAATCTTCTACAGATCTCTTCACCGAATTCAATTACAAACGATACGGCCTCCACCAAAGAGAGACAATGATAATGATCCACCCCATGCGGTTCCGGATCATTATGAACCCATTATCGCTCGCTCCAGCTCCTTCCACTCTCCGTCCACCTCTCCAACTTCGAGAAGCCATCAGTCCTCTCCAAATCATTCCCCCAGACTTGGACCCAGTCGGCTCTCGAGCTTCCACAGATCCCATTCTTCATTCTCCTCTTCGCCTTTCAAATGGAATGCATGGGGCTTCCTGAAAAACTGGAAGTTGCAATTGAATCCTCCTCAGCAGCACAAGGGAAAGTTGAAGGCGGGAAAGTCATGGTATCGCACGAAACGAGTGAAAGGGCTTCTGTTGCTTATTGGGCTGCTGGGTTCCTTCTTCTTGGTAAATTGGATTATGCTTACGCGTCTGCAAGATGAAGCGGTGCATCCTATCACTGAGTTATCGAGAAATTCATCTGCTGATTCAGTTTCGGTTCCGGTTCAGGTAGGTGCATGATTAGTATTGTGGATTTTAAATTCTAGGAACTTTTTTTCCCCCTGTCCCTTGCTAATAATTACAACTTGTTGCCTACCAGTTCATACCTTTTTACGATGGAGTTGTGTTAAAACGAGTGAAGTAGATGGTAGAGGGTATTAATGTGATCAGACGATATTTGAGACTTTTCTACCATGTACCTTGAGGCGAAGCATATATATACGTCTATACAAGTAAATTCTGAAAATAAAAAACCGATGGACCCAGTGCATGAACATACTTTGGAAGCTGGTTTCGGCAGGGCACTTTGGATATTAGATACCCAATAATTAATGCCCAATCTTTTTGATAATATCATATATTTGGCCTGTGGATGTGAGAATTTTGCTTTTTTTTTTTTTTGGGCATTTACCTAGTATTCGTATGGTGGATATACATTTTGTATCCAGGTACAGATGAATGAAAAATGATCACGTAGATGCCTATTGCGCAGCTGACTGTCAGGAATGATAAGTGAAATGCATTAGATTGCATATAGTTGAGAAACTGAGGTCTAAGGGAGTCACTAGGAACTTGTCCCCTTAAAAGAATAGCCTTCATGTGCATCACCCTGGTTAAATATTTTAGCAGATGTTGAAATTCAAAGGTCTAATTTCTTGGTCTTTCAATTGTCTGTTTACTTTATTTTCCCATTTGTTATTTTCTTGCAGGGGAAATGGAAAAAAACTAGAAAAGGGAAAAAGCCACCGAAGGGAAATTATGAAAGATTGTTGGCTTTGGCTGCCCATGCTTTGGCAGAGGTATCAGGATCTGTAGCCTGTTAGTAATTACAACCATGAAATATTAGAATCATTAAATCAAATGCCAGATTAAATCTCTCTGTTTGCAAGTCTGCAGTTGTTCTGATTTGTTTCATATGGGTACAGAATAAACGTGAGCCTAAAGATTTGTGGCAGGAGCCTTTTGCTCCTGCTTCTGCCTGGAGACCTTGCGCTGATCAGCGTAATTGGGAACCTAGTGGTATGCCTATGTTAAATTTGATTTTATTTTTAATATCATGTACGTGTGTGTGAGTAAATGTAGTATGTTGGTCTATAAGGTGACACTCAAAGTCTGCTGCCTGCTATTGTACTTTGATAGAGGGAAATAATGGATACATTTTGATGACTGCAAATGGTGGAATAAATCAACAACGAGTAGCTGTAAGTGTCTTTATTAGACTGTTCCACCTTAATGGATATTTCTCTTCTTCTGAATATGAGTTTGGTTTGGTCCAAAGAATAAAAGCTCTATTGTTCAATGATTAACATACTATATATGTTGATTTTGATGACAATAGGTTTGCAATGCGGTGGTTGTGGCCCGATTACTTAATTCAACTTTGGTTATTCCCAAATTTATGTTTAGTAGTGTATGGAGAGATGTAAGGTGATGATGCTCTTTCTATCCTTCTAACTTTTCCCTTCTTATCTTACATGATTGAATAACCAAATGTTCAGTCCTTGGGATAAGCGTCCAAATGGGATTCTGCTGATTTAATGAATGTTATATTACCTAAGTGAAATCTTTTCTAGTTGTTTTGGCTGAATGAAATTTGCTATTGAACTTCTGCTTCAAATGGATACCCATGATTTTTCCCCCTGACTAATTTGGGGGGCATATGATTAAATATTACTACATTACAGGATGTTAACATATGCTTTATGGGTTTCCCTCTAAGTAATGTGGATCATTGGTAATTGTAGTTATTCTTATGTTCAACTAGAATTGCCAATTTTACAATTGCCCTGTTTATTTTAATGATGCGTCTTTAGTCCATAGGTCTTCTGATCTCCTCCTTTTTTTTGGTCAATACTTCTTCTTATAATTGCTTTACATGGAAATTGACAGTACCAAATTGTATAATTTGATTAATTTCAGTCAATTCAGTGACATCTATCAGGAGGAGCATTTTATAAAATACTTAACATCTGATATAAGGATAGTAAAGGAACTTCCTGAGGAATTGCGGTCTTTAGACTTGGAGGCAATTGGTAGTGTTGTAAGTTACTGCCCTTCCAGTAAACTAACTGCTTTCACGGTTAGTTCCTTTTGTATTAGTTATTGGGATTGTCTTCTTTCAGGTATCAGATGTTGACATGGGAAAAGAGGCCAAGCCAAGTTTTTACTTGAAGCACATTCTACCTATTCTACTCAAAAATCAAGTTGTCCATTTTGTTGGTTTTGGGAATCGCTTAGCATTTGACCCAATACCATTTGAGCTGCAGGTAAATCCTTTTTGATGTTTTGTCATTTCAGTTGGATTTGTCCTTTTCATCTGAATCCTTACTATTCTGTTCTGATTGGAGAACTTCATCTAGAGACTTCGTTGCAGATGTAATTTTTATGCGCTGCGATTTGTCCCCAGAATACAAGAAACTGGTGCTTTGCTTCTTAAAAGGCTGCGCCAGCATACTGGTCACATTGGACTGTTGGATCCATATCTCATTGGTCCATTTGCGGCATCAATTTTGGAGGAAAGAGGAAATCAGTCCAAAAAGGCATCTAAATATCTATCTTTGCATCTCAGATTTGAAATTGACATGGTAGCTCATTCTTTGTGTGAATTCGGGGGAGGTGAAGGTGAGAGGAAAGAATTGGCAGCTTATCGTGAAATCCATTTCCCTGCATTGGCACATCTAGAGAAGACCACAAAGTATGCATTATGACAATTGCATCAGATATATTCCCCCACGTATTATATCATTTTAGTAGTTTGCAGTTCTGGTTGGTTGCTAAAGCAGCTTTTATAATTATTCTGAGATGTGTTTGCAATTTGCTTTTTTCTCCTAGTACTTGTATCTCTTTCAATTATTACTCTCTCCTGTGTCTTGGGGGTGGGGAATGGGGGAATTTTCTGCATCACCCTAAAAAATGTTGGATTAATATAGCCACGTGTATTATTTCTATTAAGAGTATGTTTATTTCATCTTGGATAAAGGTAATGGTTGTTTAATTTTGTGAAATGTTTTTCTTTTGATCTCTTCCATTCTCTGTCATTTTTTTTTTTTGGGGGGGGGGGGGGGGGTGATGTGGGGTGGTAATGGGATTCATTTAATCCCTCCCCCAAGAGGCATCTTAGCTTCTGCACCACCCGTCAGTGTTGTTGTTGTTGGTTGTTTTTTTTTTTTTTTTTTTATTTTACCATGTCAAAATGAGCCTCCTTATTCTTTCAACTACATGGACTTCAAATAACACCAACTCTTTCTATTGCAGATTGCCCTCTCCTTCAGAGATCAGGTCTGAAGGTCTGTGCCCCTTGACACCCGAAGAGGCTGTCCTTATGCTTGCTGCTCTGGGTTTTAACCGGAAGACTCATATATTTGTAGCTGGTTCTAATTTGTATGGAGGTCAATCACGGTTGACTGCACTGACCAGCTTGTACCCTAATTTAGTGACTAAAGAGGACTTGCTCTCTTCAACTGAACTGGAACCGTTTGCAAATTATTCATCTCAGGTTTGGTGCAGTTGCCATCGTTGTTTTGCTTATGTTGGGGATTTTATTATCACAAGGAATCTGTTTCATAAGCACTTTTCATTGTGTTATGTTCAAAACCTAATGGTTGAATACTGGTTGAGATTGCCTGGTTGAAAATCTTTTTTGAATATGATTTTTGAAGTGGGTGATATTGAAGAAGTGTGCGGTCAGTGGGGCTTTTTAGTGGACTGGCATCTAAAATTATTGGGTCCTGCCCTCTGTTTATATAATGAGTAGGATTGCTATCCTTTGTTTTGCAATATCAGAAAGCTCATATATATATGACCAGAAAGGCTTGATGGGAGAAATAAATGTGTGCGTGCAACGCATGCATAAAATTTCCATTCATTGAAACTATTGGTTTTTATATATGGAAAAGGTGTGCATATGGTTGCTGAACAATTTTTCCTTAAATATAACTTCTGCTCTTAAGCTACTTATTAATATATTCTCGAGATGCTAAAATTCCACAAGAATGTGATTCTTGTCTATCTGAGAGTTTTCTTGACGGTATTTCAAGTCCTAGTAAATTGTAATGCGTATCAGCAAAAAGGTAGTGCAGCCTTACAAATCACCTTATTGCGTTGCTGGGTGGGACCTAATATCCACATAATCTACTCAGCTTTTGACTATAGAGGGATAAGTGAAACTTGAAACTAATTTGCAACTAACCACTCTGACTTTTGTTGATTGGTACGTTGCCCGTTTAGGTCCCTTTGGGATTTTAATCTCTTATTCAACTTGACTAAACAGTATCAGTTTTTATGTGATTTACTGGCCCAAAATAACTTGGTGATCAATATCCAAAATTGGGCAAAAATTATTTGATTTGAATCTCTTGGGGCCTTAGAAGCTGTCCTCTTTTCATTTTGCATTTTTTATTTTCTGAATGCTACAGTTAATTCTGCTTGGTTCTTTTAGTGTTAATCATTTGTTGAATGATAGAGCTCATTTCTTTTGTAGCTAGCAGCACTGGACTTCATAGGCTGTACTGCTGCTGATGCATTTGCCATGACCGATTCTGGAAGTCAGTTATCGTCTTTGGTGTCTGGTTATCGTATATATTACGGTGGAGGCAAAATGCCAACAATACGACCAAATAAACGCAGGCTTGCTAGTATCTTTACCAAGAACTCAACCATAGAATGGCGTGTGTTTGAACAGAGAGTTAGGAAAGCTGTTAGACAGACCAAACATGTACAGACAAGGCCCAGAGGAAGAAGTATCTACAGGTATCCACGGTGTAGAGAATGTATGTGCAGGATAGAATAATGTATTCTTTTGTACTTTATTCGGTTTGCAAGTGCCCATTGCATTTTGTAACATTATTTATTGCCCCCAGTCAATTTTTTGGTGTCTGCCATTGCATTTGGTTACATTGTTTATCACTCACAATGCGAATGAAATGGCAGGATAAGGCTTGTTGCCCATACAACGTCCCTATTTTGACTGTGTAAAATTTTCAACTCTTGGGAATATTTTGAATTTTGAATAGGGACTGGAGTACTATTTTGAATCATCTATATGGAAAGCGAATACCTTGGTTTTCACTGACCCCTTTTTAGATCGTAAGAGGCTAATGAACTTGGATGAACAGAGTGCAGCGGTCACTGCTGTTGTATGGGTCTTCCATAGCACCTTTTTTTTTTTTTTTTAACTTTTTGAGCAAAGGGTCTTCCATAGCTTTTGTTTTGTTCGTTTCCTTTAAAAAAAATTGTCCACTTCCGATCACTATTAGCCTGTTTGGTTCAATTCCATGAATAGACATTATATGCAATCCTAATGCAACTGACTGATTCAAATGTTTGGTTGGACTGTAGTAATGTAAAGAATATTACATTTTGTAATCATGATTAACTCAAGTGGATGCATTGGGATTACATAGCTGAGACTCATCAGACTCATGAATAGGGCTGCAAACCTCTTGTAATCAAGTAGAAAAGATATTATTACTAGTATAAAATTTCAAATTGACTAGATTGCCCTTGCTGAAATTAGGAACATAAACCCTATTAATCACGACCCACCATATTTTTACTGCTATCGTTGTCTTCTTTACTGCGGCACTAAATCATCGCTGCTTGATTGTCATTGTTCTAGGGAATCTATGGCGAGGTAAGTTCTTTGCTGTCCATGTGAATTCTCTTTCACTCTTTCTTCAATAGTTATTTTGTGTGCATTCTGTTCCGTTTTTTTGCTAGATACAATGAACCATTATTGAATATATTGTGTGCATATGAAGATGACAGACTTCTTCAAACCATCCGGCTGGTATGTTTTATGAATTTTGTCGCAGGTCACACCCATCAAATCAATGTTAATTCGTTAACAAACTTTTTAAATTAATATTTTTTGTTTGAATGAAAAATGATTAACTCAATTTTATTTTTTCCCCGAAACTGTAACTTGCTTTGCAGAAGCATTTTTGGGGAAAATATACTAATTTATATAAGTAAGGGTAATTTTGTCTTTTGGTACATTATTTTTATATATTCTCATGTTTTTTGTAATCCAACCAAACATTTTTACATTTATGTATTATTTTTTCTTAATGACGTACCAAACAAACTCATGTAATTATCATTACATTACATTCCATTACATTATAATACATTGCATTACATTCTCCTAGATTCAGTGAACCAAACGAGCCATACGGTTATGATGAGAGTGCTTTGCATTAGTTGGAGTTGAAAATATCTTAAGGCAGGTTTATAGGTTTTTAGTGAACTGTTAACGTGATCATGTCTGGTTGGGCATAATAATACTAGACTGGCAACTCTGATGAAGAATTTATCCATTAGACAAGTTTCGTAGAATGCTTTCTCTGATTGATGATTCAAAGCTTATTAAATTTTTCGCGTCAAATAATTTGAAATTTTTGAAAATGTTTATTATTATTTTTTGGTTATGTGAAGATATTTATTATTGATATAAATGGTTTGTTTTATTATACAAAGTTTCATTCGGACCTTCGCACGCTTGATTCCAACGAGACTTGATCATTTTTTCATTAAACAAAAGAGCTTAGGCAAGTTTGGGAGATATGACCCACATTTTGACCCATAATCATGAAACTGCCGTCTGGAGCCTAATTTCTGGAATAGTTCCAACATTAAGCAGTCCATCTGATATTCTCCCCAACTTTTCTTTCAAAAGTGGGGAGATTTTTTAAGGGTAAGAGACCCACATATCTTGCTTCTTAATTAATGAAATCTTAAATAAATTCAATTTTAGAATAAATTTTTGAAATCATTATAAAAATAAAATATTAAAATTTGATAAAATAATTATAAATTAAGATTAAGATTAAAATATATATTATGACAAATATATAATAAGTTTTTCGCATATAAATATTTGCCTTAAAAATAGTAAGGCCAGCAAGAGCTTTTCTAACAAAAAGATTATTCTCCCCCACTTCACTCTCCCGATTCCCTCTTCCAAAATCCTTGATCAAACATATATAAAAGTTCAAAGAATAACCAACTCTATTCACCACTTATATATCATATGGCTTATTTAAATTTTAATATTACATCTAGTTCTTAATATAAGAGTCAGTGAAGGGATTTGTATTGGTTCTAAAAACAAGTACTGAATTCAGTTTATCCTTTAAATTTACAATTTCTTTCATAAACTCTCCCTTGCACATATAAAGAGGGTTTTTCGAAGCAATATCTAATGCAGATAATTAAAAGTAATACTTTCAAAAAATCAACACATATTTATTACAAATTACTATCTTAACTAATTTTCTTAAACCTTTTCAAATTAGTTACACATTTCTTATATTTGGGATTGAAGATACTACTAGTATTCTATATTGGATGTTCCTGTTCCTTTGGCACTTTAATGTTTAGCCCACTAGCAGTTGCCCTTGTTTTCTTGCTTCGTTACTCGAGGAACCATAAAACCGAACAGCACTATTTGAGCAGCCCAGGATTATGGTTTCATCTTTCATGCACATGCATACGTACATACATACATGTGTATGTGTCTCAAATCTTGATTGAGGTTTTTTCTGTTGATAGATATGAGCTGTGACGTAAAAAACATACTTTCATGCCGATTCATGAATATTATTTTTCAATTATTCATAAAAAGTTAATGTTAACAACATTTATTAACAGAAACATATTGAAAGTTCTTCTTCTTCTTCTTCATACGGAAATTGGAGACACAGACAAGGTCATTCTCACAATGTGATTCAGACTTCCTGTGAAAACAACTTCGCCGAAGCTGAAAGCACCCACAGGCTGAGTCACACAGAATTGAATCTCCAGATCTTGTGTTTTCTGAGGATTTATGATGAACCAAGAAGGATTCAACTTAACTGTAGTTCCATTTGGTGGAAGAACCGTTCCCAAGTATGTTTCTGTCTTGTTGGCCACATTCATCACAGTTCTCCGCACAGAAACTGAGCCAGTCATTGACGATATTGTGACTGAAGGTAGGTTTAGATTGTATGGGTAATCAAGTGAGAAATCGCACGATTCCCCAGTTGCTGCTGTTATATTTGCTGGATCAATGTTTGGTAAAGAACACAAGAAGGCGATGTAATCTTCATGCCCTATGTATTCAAACCAATGAACCTCGAGCAGTCAATACTAACATAATCAAATTATGACTGGGAATTATACAAAGAATTAATATGGGGATCCTATTTGTTGCACAAACACCACACAGGATGGGAGATTCATAAATGATTAGGAGATGAGTGTCAAAACCCACTTCTACAGGTTCACTAATTTTGCCACTTTCTCTTTGTCACTAATTTCTATTATTATTAATATAATTTTATTATTATTGCTATTATTATTATATGTTTTATTATATCATATTGATAATCTAATTAAAATATCATGAATGTCGTTCGTTAGTCAGATGAGGCTGATTTCAAATTAAGGGTTTGATTCAGTCACATTTTAGTGATTAATTGTGTAATTAATTATCTTGATAGGAGATTATTAAAATGATGGCAAATTGAGTGAGAGCGATATAAGAAGACTTAATCCAAGAGTGTTCCTCAACTAGTAATCCTCAATCTCTTTATTCGTTTAATTTCTTCTGACTATCTCTCTTTGTTCTTTAATTAGTTAGGTAATTAGCACAAGATATCTACAGGACTATTACTTCATATCTACTAGCATGGCAATAGGTATTTGCATTAGTCCTCTCCTGCTACAATGAGATATTATAAAATTCCATTTGTATGTTTTGTTTTTGTTTTTTTTTGGTGAACTATGTTTTGTTAATTTTTAAGCACATGGATAGTCTCACATTGACTTTGAAGAACAAAATATAAAACATACCTAGTGGGAAGACCAATCCGGGATCAATGGCAGACTTGGGGTTGATCATGCCAGCTCCACGATCAAAAGGAGTGGATTGATACAAATCATTAATATCAGATCCCTGAGCCATGATAATATCTCCAAAGTTATCATACTTTGTGGCGGTTGTGGATATTGCAGAAGCAATCATGGAAGGAGTCCATGAAGGATTATGCTGCTTAACAAGAGCAGCAATGCCTGCAACATGAGGAGTGGCCATGCTTGTCCCAGACATTAAAGCAAAACTCTGACCTACGAGCAGAGGTTGAAGGGCACTGATAGGACTCCAAGCTGCCCAGATTTGGTGTCCTGGAGCCAGAATGTCTGGTTTCATAACATCTGCAACATGTTTGGTGTTATAGTCTATGATGTCTGGTCCTCTTGATGAGAATCTGCTCACTACTGGTGCTCTCCCTCTGAATGATGCAACCCTTCCTTCTCCAATGGCAGCCCTACCTCCATATTCTGTCTCACTTCCATTCTCACACCTTCTGGTTTGGTTTTCGTAGTATTGTAATATAGCCTGCGTGCGTATGTGTGAGAGAGAAACAAGCAGAGCTAGTATCACTGATTAGCATTTGTTTGGACGGCAAAATATTTTACTGAAGCATTATAACAAGAATGATAAGCAAATACTGTTGGCTTTATCTTCTTTCTTTAAATCTGTACGTGGTAATGACTGTGATGGATGTAGTATATTCTGCCTTCTAAACTTAGCAATAAGTCTCCCTAAATCTTGAAATCTTGATTATTTAGTTTTGTGAAAATTGCATCATAAATATATATATGTATATATATAAGAATTAGATTATGTGCAGATAAACGTCTTTATGCTTTTGGCCCCAAAAAAAAAAGACGTCTTTATGTTAATGTGATGGCTTATAAGTGAAATAACATATATGCATACTATCTAACAATATGAAAGTTATCTAACATGAAAATTGTCAATTTTTAAAGACAAAATAATTATTGGTACATCGCCCAAAATTTTGAGGACACATATACAGTTATATCTATGTATGTGACTCATTAAAAACCTTTTTTTTTTTTATAAAAAAAAAAGGTCAGGCCAAACACCATCAGTATTAAATAAACAATACTACCTTCGGTCCTAATTATAAGAGTTAGTTGACTAATTTGATGAGATTAAGAAAAGAAGTTACGTTAGTTATTTATAATAAATATGTGTTGTTTTTCCTAAAGAGTTAGTTATTTGCTAATTAAGTGTGTTGGTTAGAATTATTATTGTTAGAAGGACTATCTTAGAAAAAAATGTATAAATATGGGTGACAAAATGGATTAGGGTCTTATATTTAGGACCAAAATAAAAGTCAAACAATGTCTTATATTAAGGACTGGAGGAAGTATATAGCTGGCAAAAGAAATTAAATAAACAAAATATCATCAAATTTTATGGATACTAATTGTTTCATGCTTTTCCAAAAATAAAAAATGAATTTTAAATTTAAATCACGTACAGAGAGTGGGGGACAACAAGAGAGGTGGCTTGAGACTTGATGAATACGTACCTGGGAATCAGCAACAGATGGGATCAAGATGCCAGGAACAGAAAATGGAACAGGCTCTGCAATATAATCACCATAGTTAGGGTTTGCAGCAAGAACAAAGCCCTCAAGCCCTAGGGTTTTTGCTGTGTCGACAATGGCAGTGAGGGTTGAGGTTCCATTGTAGAAACCAGACGAGAAGGTGCAGATTATTATGACACTGCCTCTCAGTACATCAGCGTTGAAAGCTTCTGGGTGTTGGCACTCTTCAGTATATTCAGGAGTCCTCGGGAATGTTCCATTCTCTTTTAATGCATCCTTCGCTAGCACAAGCTTATGCAGAACTGTCTCATTTCTAAAACCTGGTCCTGCATATATATGTATATATATATATATATGTAAACATCTTGTGTGTGTGTGTAGTAATGCGTCACAAGCTAATTATAATTCTGACAAGATCCTCTCCCATCCTAGCTACAAGTATGTATAATTAACTAGAAAAGTAGAAATCTATATATAGAGAGAGGAGTACAATTTGTTTCCAGCTTTTTTTGTGCCAACATCTCCAGGTGATTACAAGGTATAGACGTATCTGCATATAATTAGAGTTCAGAAAGAGGAGAAGAAAGAGGAGGGGTTCCATTTGTCAAGTGGGGCCCACCAAAGCTCTCTTTCTTCCTTTCTTTCTACGCACGTAGCATATTTCACTCAGAGAGAATCCTTTATTAGAGAAGACATTAGAGAAGACATCATTGAGACTTGAAAATAAACAGAATGCAGGGATGTTAATTACTGAATAGATGTGACTTACCACTATATATCTATCTCTCTCTCCGTCTGATGGCGCAAAATGCACAGTTGCAGGGAAGTACATTATAATATATAGACCTATTGCTGTGTTTATCTTTTTTCAATTGCATATGGAATTCATGAGTTATGATTCCCAGAGATATCTAGGTAGTCATCTAGATACGGGGGAAGCATTCTGCTTCTGCCTCTCAGATTTCTTTCAAGCAAAAATCACTGAGGTCCCCCAAGAAAAAAAAAAATCACCAAAAGTCTCACTGGTGAGCAGGAGTTGTTATTGTTGTCATTTCGAAAAATCAGTCCATAATACTAATTTTCCCTTCTTTTAAAAGAATATTGTAAAGTGCGACTCAACTTTGTATTGAAACTAATGAAGGAGATAGCATGTTGTTAAGAGATGAATATGTTCAGCAAAGTGTGGAAATGGTACCAGAGAGGGCAACACCGGGGAAGGAGAGGCCATTGCCAAGAAGGAGAGAAGCAGAATAGAAGCGATCGGTGGTGGAAGAAGCAACGCCGAGAGTCCAGGGGCTGAATGAGAGCAACGAGGAAGGTGAAGGTCCTTTGTTCCCAGCGGCTTGAGCCACAAGCACTCCTGCTTTTCTTGCAAACAGCAGACTTATCTCCAACACACTCAGCATCGTCGCTATGTCTCTTGGTGCTTCCTCTGGCCCCACTGATAGGCTTATGATGTCCACTCCATCGGCTACAGCCTGCCAAATGCATAATGCCAAACCAAACCAAGTAGTTTGATTATTTCAACGATACATAAACGCTAATAATGAAACAAAAGGATATTTTGCCTAGATGACTAATTTGAGTGGATTTAAAAAAGTTTGTTAAGTTTGTTAGTTATAATAAATATGTATTATTTTTTTTATAATACTCTTGTTAATCATATATATTAGCTGAAACTATCATTTGATAAAACATTTAACATGTGCAATTAATACAAAGACTATTTAAAAAAAAAGAATAAATATGAGAGATAAAGTATATTAGAGTCTTATATTTAGAACCAAATTGCAAGTCAAATTAGTTCTTCTATTAAAGACCAGAGGTGGTATAAGAGTTATTTGACTACTTTAAGTAAATTAAAGAAGCCAGATATATTAGTTGATTAAAACAAGTTTGATATAATCTCCGTAAAATACCTTGTATGGTATATTAGTTTGTGCAAACTCAGTAAATTAGTTTGAAAAAACATTAATAAATATAAAATACATAATAAGTTGAGCTATTATGTTTTGTACCAGATTCAACTAGGGATTGAGGGTGGTAGAACCATTTTGTATAGGAATGGAGGGAATATTTACTTGATCAATTGCTGCAATAACATCTGCAATAGTTCCCACGGTTGGATAAATAGCCTTGTATACAGCAATTCTGTAAAATGACACATGCATAGCACCCAACTTGTATCAAATTCATATGCTTATAATTATGATTTAATACTAATATTAATAGCGAAACCTTACAAACTTTTTTTTTCAAAAAAAAAATTATCACTTTCTTTGACAAATAACTGACATAAAATTCTCTTCAATTTTGTTTGAATTAGATGAACCTTTTAATTTCCAAAACTGATACGAGCTTTTTCTGAACAGATAATAAATTGTATAGTTTTCTTCGGGATTTCACTGTAATTATATTCCAAACACGTTCTCTCTATTCTCTCAGAAAACCTTTGACCAAAAAAAAAAAACTCTCAAAAAGGTTTGTGGATACCATCATTATTATTATGTGCTTTGTAAATCGTATTTGTTGAGATGTGATTTGACTGTTTTTGTGCATATAATAAATTGTGAGATTAAACTATTTGGCTTTGAATTGTTTCAAATTATATATATAATTTGTTACTATTTCCATTTCTTAAAATAAGATTTAATTGACTAATTTAGAAAGATTAAAAAAGTTACGAAATTATTTAATTATAGTTTATGTTGCATAATATCTCTAAAATACTTATGTGAATTATTATCTTATTATAAGTGACACAAATTAATTTAGATGAAAATGATAAATATAAAAACTTTAAAATAATTTAATAAACTTTTTTAATTTCTCCAATTTAAACAACCAAATCTTATATTAAAAGAATTAGTATATAATAATAAGCCACGGAAAGCTTACCTTGCTCGCGGTGCCATTCCTCTAGCACGCCCGTAGCAAAACCCATTCACCACAACATCAATCCCACAATTTCCAGCAGCTGTTGACGCCACATGACTGATCAACCCATTTCATATACATATCATTAACATTTTCCTTAATTAATCTCATACCTTCAAACCATATATATATTGGTCAAAGGATTATAGATATACCATTACCTGCCATGCCCATCAGCATCAAAAGGCGAAAGAAAATCAAGAGAAGGATTGAGAGAAGCAATGGCTTGAGCTCCCTTAGAGAAGAACCTTGCCCCAACTATCTTCCCATTACAATCACTTTCAGAGAACCTGGGACCTGTCTCACACCCTCCTGAAAACTGAGATATGTTCGATTCAAAAGGCCGTGACGCATCGTAAGCGAAGCTTCCATGGCTAGGGTTAATCCCACTGTCCACAAAACCTATCACCACCCCTTCTCCTCCTTCTCCTTCTTCCTCCCACATTCCTCCTTGTACCCCCACAAACGCAGGCGTATATGTCGTTTTGAGACTTGCTCCTCTGTCTCTCTCCACCACTCTCACTCCTTCCCTGCTTCTCAGTCCCGCAGCCTGCAGAAGCCATATATATATATATATAAGGGTTAAGTTATCAAAGGGCTTTGTTATTATTGTACTTGTGTTGGTGAAAGAGAGAGAGATTAAGAAGAAGACCTGAGATGGGGTTGCGTCAACTGAGAAGCCATTGATGATGTGCTTGAAGCTGTGAAGCTTACTGTAGCTTCCCTCCTCTAAGGTGTTTCAGAAGCATTTCATGAGACTCCACCAACTTCTTTGCATGCGCCATTGAATCTTCGCTATATATCCAACCATGCACCCACAGGTATCAGAAAAATAAAGAAAGGAAAGGAATATAATATAGGCTTGCTTTGGCAAGGGTATATATAAATATATATTGACCGATTAATATATATGAGCCTACCATGTATAGAATTCAAATGTTTTTCAAACTTTGAACAATATGGTATTAAAGATTTACTATATGGATGTTGGCATGAAAAATAGAGAATAATGAAAATGAACCTGTTGGGGTGTGACGACGAAACCTGGGAGAAAGCGACAGCGTCTCCTTCCAATAAGACCAAGTATATGGATCGTTCTTCTGCAAAGCAGGCTCTGAAGAAAACGACCAACAGGCTCATCATCAGTGTTATTATCAGAAAAGCTTTCTTTTTCTTTGCCATGTTTTGCCAGCTCAGTGAGATTTAGGGATTTTCTCCAACTCTGGTTGAGAGGAGCTGAAGATGATGATGGTGGTGGTGAAAGATGAGTTACATATACATATACATAAATATATATATATATATATATATAAACACAGTAAAAGGCTTGCACTGTTAACGTGAGCTCGTCGTCAGATTCCATATTGGTCTTGTTAACAGATATTTTTGGAATTTTGGTTACTTTAATTCAAGCGTTATTGCCGTCTTGCATCACACCAAACATCCATCTATTCATCTCTTTCTCTTTCACACGCCAAACCCAGTTTTTCTTCCCTTTTTTCTGCCTTTCAATAATAGCATTAATTATTATTAGTTTTCTAACGTCTCTTTCCTTGTTTGTTGACGAATAATGGGATCAAAAGAATAAAAGCCTGAATTGACGTTTTCATCTTTCAATGATATATTTTATATCTCAACGAAATATATATATAAATTAATTTCTCCAATATCATGATATTTGTTCACTCAGGAAAAATAATAATATCCTTGACTTGTTCTCGAATATTCTTGAACTAGACTTTGGGATGAATTTTCCAGATCTTGTAGAATATTATTGGTTCACCAATTAGACAAAGTTAGGATAACCTTTTTTTCAATCATCATTTGTTCAATTATTATTTTGCCCTTATTTCAGCGGATAATCTGCTATCCAGATAAAAATAGGGGGAGGGAGGCTTGTCCATGCCATGGAAATAATATTTTAAATTTCTCTGTTTTAACAGGAAAAAAATTACGAAATATGGGGAATGATCAAGCGTTTTGATGCTTTCCAGCTAACACAACTGCAAACTCAGCTTCAAGATGACAATTTTTCTTTTTTACTCACATGCCAAGAGATCAATGTGATAAGAAAACCTAGGAACATAGATACATAATAACCTTAGCCTGAGGAGCCAAATACACAAGGATGTTCTATCATTAATCGATAACCTCTGGTTGAAGCTGTACAAAACAACACCCAGAGCACACAAAACCAGCTACGATATAGGCAAATTATTGAGCATGAGTCATTTCATGTCTCTCTCTTTCCCTCTCGTCTCCAAGGGGTAAAAAACTCTACTGCATAATGGTCATCTTTTCCTCCTCTTGGGCTCCACCTGCAAATTTTATTTATGCCTTGAAAAGCTCAGAATGTGATAAACTATAGAGCATATGCAACATGTTATGCAAGCTAGTGTATTGTAGACCTCAACAGAAAACCGAAGCTCAATTCACAACAATGGCAGTCAAGATTGCCTTTATGATCATTGATTGTTAATTACCCCCTCCAATTCTAAATATAAGAGCTAATTAAGAGGTTTAGTTTAGTCCTAAATATAAGATCTTAGTTTACTGTGTCCACAATTTATAAATTTTTTTTCCCGTGACATGCCTATGAATGGCGTATATTAAATGGAGTTTTCATCAACGGAGGTGATAGTTAAATAAAGCATTTTTAAGAGAACCAATTACACATAACTAATTTCTTTAATATCTGCAAATTAATCATCTGGCTCCTGTATTGAAGACTAAAAGTACTTTTTCCGCACCAAACACTATCTGATAAGTAGAAGAACAAAATTCTGAAGACCTCCTCCTAACTACTGATATTCTTCACCATTAGACCAGACATAACTACATAACTAGTAGTCGAGCATATGGGATAGCATGACAACGTGCTAATGTGAGGATTAAAACCAAAGAAAGACACATTTGCAGAATAGTTCTGAGTCCTGTCACTTAATATGATATTCTTATGAGGCGAGAGACGCCAAGATATCTTTAGGAATTTTAAAGCCTCTATACTCCATACTTCAAAAAAAATATGAGATTCAACTCTAAAACATACCTGAGTGGAAGTTATGCCCCTAAGGAACAAAAGCTTTTACTATGCACTCACACAATTCAACTACTCCACAATAAGTTAAATGTAGATAATCCAAATGTAGAAAAGTAGAGATCTTGCATAATGACTAATGATCCAAACAGCAAAAATTTATAACGTGCAGTTGTACGTGTCGCACCAAAATTTAAGATTTTCCTATTGACACCAGCATAGTAAATTTAAATGAGAAATTCACAATTCATTCAACAATAAAAATGAATCACCCAGCACATACTGAGGCTTGCACTTATCGGCCTTGCCCAAACATGTGTAAACCCAAACAAACCAAAAGCCACCTCAATGCTAGGGAATACTAATGCAGTGGGAATAAAATGATCAAGTTTAACTAGCACATATAACTTTGCGATACCATGTTTTGTTCTACGATGTGATCTTCCAAAAGGAAATTGAATGACATAAACATATTAACATTAATTATGACCAAGCCCAAATGGAGAGGGACCAAAGGGATACAATTATATTGTCATGGTCAGAGTTTAGCCCAAGCCACATTGCATGAAACATCATGCAGGCGCTACATTTATCTTTATACAATTGATTTGCAAATATAAGAAATTAATGGAAATTTATTTGTCTCTAAAAACACTAGAGGTTTCTGAGGTCAATATAAGAGGAAGAATGGGAAATGGGATCATCTTTAGAGGAGTGTTTTGACCTGAGGTTTGGGCTTCCCCCGTTCAAGAATTGGAAAATGAGACGCTTAAGTTATAACAATAGAAATTAGAAATTAAGCATGCACAGTGCAGATTAAATGATGATTAAAACAAATTGAGCAAAAACATTAGAAATAGCTACAGGTTATAAACTTGTAAAGCTGAACATGAATCATATATCGATTTTAAAGCCATCGCAGCTACTGTCAACTATATTCATATGACTGCCACACAAGTGCCTTGAAGAAATCGTGGGAACATATAGCAAAATGTGAGTGGAGAGGTGGACGTGGCATAAAAAATCTTCAGCTTATTGCTCCACAGCATTATCTAATTATACTTTGCTGATAAACTCCCAATTGGACCAAACAAAAGAAAAAAGGGCTTAAGCTCTTTTAGGTCTAGGAAAACTATTAAAAAAAAAAAAAACACTAAAAAACAGTGACAAAGTTAACTTTGGCACCTAGACAGAAATAAAAATACAGATGCATAATCGGATTAGCGTAAATGACAAGTCAGATGATTTTTCATGTCAATCCACTTGAGTAAGTTAATCTACATTGGTCCTCCTCTAACTCTGCCAGAGTGGATTTCTCTAAACTATCTGGGACTAAACACAGGCAGTCTCACCTTGCCATCATCAGCTGGAGATAAAGAAAATGCAGCTTGGGGCATCTTTTTCATGTCGTCATCAGATGAACATTCAGAACACACGAAATGGTCCAGTTTCTTTGCTTCTTCAATAGTCATGCCCACACAAGCAGGATGGTACCTACAGGAAATCTATTAAGATTGAAATAGGTGTTTGATAAAAACAAAAAAAAAGACACAATGATTTAAAAGATACTACAAACCGTAATAATGATATAGTTTCTTGGAAACTTAATAAATTACACAAATCTATCAAAATATTGTGATGCCAGATAAAATCAGTGAATCAACAAAACATATCAAAGTGATGCCAGATAAAATTAGTTGATAAATGCAAAAAAGTTGCAATTTGAGATAAAACTATTCGACCCCTGCATCATTTAATATCTGTTGTCTGACATAAATGGGGGAAATGCGACAATTAAACTCAAAATCATGATTTTAGCATTAGGAGCTGAACTGTAGATAGAAAATTTTATCTCGTCTCTAGTCTCATTTGATCCTCTCTCTTTCTCTCTCGGCGACATCACAAGTGAATTTCTTTCTCAAGACTAACATGAGAATTATGTCCATATAGAGGTTCAGCAACAAATTCAAAGTGGATTCAAATTATTGGACATTAGAAAACATCTTCCTGAGGCTTCTTGAAGCCTTCATATCATATTTATCCTTCTTCATGGGATTGCAGTCCCAATATAGACCTTGCAACACTCTTCGCCTTCACCAGGCGGTGAAAAAATCAACTTTCTTCATTAAATCAAATGTGACTTAAATGCTGAACCAATAGATCTGAAAATCCGAGAGGCATATGACAAAATGCAAAACTAGTGAACAGAAAAAAGCAGAATAAGATGATTTTACCAGTCCTTGCACCCCTCGCATTGTACCATGAGGTCATCTGGGTTATAAGGCATCTCGCATTTGCAATACCTTCCAAACAATAAACAAAAGCAACAAAACCCCATTAGTTCCAGTGCTCAAAATACAAATATTTGATATCGTAAGAGAAACGCCAAAAATACTCACACAGCGACACGGTCAGGCGTAAAAGCCCCAGTAGCAGCCTTGTATTCGAATCTACAATAGTAATCTTCAGCCCCTACATTTTCGAGCTTGGTGTAGTTCTTGAAAGAGTGCACAATACACTTGCCTTCAATGGTGTGAGCACTCTGAACATCATAATGGTCCGACAAAAACAGCTCTTTAGCTCCATGGAATTGCCTGCGTCCCCCGATCGACTCTTCCGGCCGATAATACCACCTAACACGGACTTTAACGTTGTTCCTATTGTCCTGTTCGATCTTCTCCACTCGCGCCACGTACGGAGGCTTGCTGGTGTCGGAAGGTCGCATCAACACACAGTCTCCGGCTGCAAATCCACCACAAAAGCACATGTTTTTCAAACACCCCACCTCGCTCACCTCCGTATGTAGCAAAAATACACAAGAAAGGAAACAAATTTCAACACAGAAATAGAAAGGGCACAGATTTGGAGAAGAAAGGCGAGAGATTACCTCTAACGACCTTGTTGGTGCCTCTGATAGTGTAAGAATCCAGGTCTTTCCTTCCGGGTCTAGTTTTCGCCATAAGAGGAGGTGGGTGTTAAGACAACAAGAAGAAATGTGAAATTGGAAACCCCAAAAGAGTTTTGGGGAAGAAGGAGAACAGAGGAGCAGGAGGAGGAACCCTAAGGATTAGAAGAGTGAGACGGTGACACTTCGCCTGAGTTACAGTCAATTTTATAGAATGCGGTCAAGCTCATTATAACATTAGGTGACGACCCTGTTGGTCTTGCTGTGTTGTATTGTTGGGATTGGTGCTGCAACTTGTGCTCCCTGCTACTTTACAATGTCCATGAGGAATGGCCAGTCCATAATCTCTTGCCTTGACGTTTCTATCGTTGTTTCCCTTCTTTTCTTCTTTTCTCTTTTTCTTTGGGCTATTTTTTGCTTTGCACTTGTGTGCTATTATTTAGGAGACTCTTTTGTCTCATAGCACCTGGCTTCGTCCAAACGTAAGAAAATTACGGTTTACAGACTCTGCCTTGACTGCTTTTCTGCCCTGCGCCAGGACATCTAATGTGAGCTTGTTGGAATACAAACAAAACTTATGCATATCTTTGTCTAATAAGAAAACACACGTATCTTTATACAAATATTATCGCCAGGAGAGTATTACATTACATCCATGAGATCGGATTCCATTTTGACTCTGATTAGTTGCAGATCAATATAATTTTTGAAAGCTAGAAGGTGTTAAAAAAATAAAGATAGTACTCCTCCAATCTTAAATATAAGACCCACTTTATAGTGTAATTTACACACTGTGGGTCTTATATTTAAGACCTGAGAAGTGTGTAAATTACATTATAAAATAGGTCTTATATTTAAAACCGGAGGAGTATAATTAAATGAAAGGAAAATCTCAGAAAAATACACTGAAAATATCAAATCTCAAACAAGGGTCTCTAGTTTTAGTGATTTCAAATCAGTCCTTTATACCAAGTAAAATTTTGATATGTTTGTGTTTTTACAATATTGCCCCTTTACATTCCCCCCGGTGGGAGGGAACCCTTCTCAAGTACCACTTCCTTGTCCTGAGCAAATTTGGTTGTTTTAAGGAAGTGTTGTCATTTGTTAACCAAATGTAAGAAATAGCTAGAGAAATATAGTAAATACATTAAAATATCAAACAGTGAAATTTGGAAAAATGTATTACTACGCCACACTTTATTCACTATTTACACCTCACTTCATTAGAAAATAGCAATGCATTTTAGCAAATTTCACAACTCGATAGTTTATGGTATTTACATTACTTCTTAGATACTTCCCATACTTAATTAACAAATAACATTTTCCTAAGATAGCTAACCCTGCCGGTGATCCGCCATTTGCCGAGAGGTGCTAAGGGGCTTTTTAAAAAAATAAGGGGGCGCTGATGTCTTTTCTTGACCGTTCAAATTTTCAAATTATTCCATTTGGTATCATTTTATAAATTTGACTCTGGATTTGAAGTTTTGATATTTTCAGGATGTTTGACCAAAGGAAAGTCAAGTTCATCAATAATGTGATCAACAACCGCCTGGGAACGCAGTAGCGTTTGTGGTAGACAAACTGTCTTTGGAGTCCCACAAAGTGCCGCTTTGAATTAATCTGGACCCATTGATATGCCTGGAAGATGGTCTTGACTCAGGATACCAGGGGAAGAAATTCAAAAAAAAAAAAAAGTGATCAACAAGTTTTTTAGGCCATGTTTGATGTTACTTCCTCCGTTCTTTTTTATAAGCAATTTTGGACTCCATCACATGGATAAAAAAGTTAAAGATAATAAATAGGTAGAAATTGAATTTTTTTTTCAAAATACCTTTATTTATGAAAGAAAGAATGTGGATAAAGAAAGATGATGGTTTGAGAAATAAGATAATAAATATATTGGATATTTTAATGAGGAAAAAATAAGAAATTTGCAACAAAAAATTTAAGACAACTTACAAATGTTGCTTATATTTAAAGACAACAACATGATGGTAGTTGTTGCTTATAAAAAGAAATAGAGGGAGTATTATTTTAGAAGCATTTTTTTATGGAATAGGAATGAAAATTAAAAAAATATTGAAAAGCACTTCTTCCATCTCTATAATATATATATATATTAGTTTTTGAAATTTTTTAAAAATGTTTTTAAAAATAGATCTATTTAATGATTTTTCCTCAACCAATAATAAATTTTTATATTTGGCATAAACATTTTTTGCGTATGAAATGGAAGATTTAACATTCCCAAGACCAAAATATCCCTAGATCAAAAGTGCCACTAATTAAAAAAACAAAAAGATTTGAAGATGGTGAACGACAAAGACGAGGCAGGACAAATATGACTACGTACGATGATGAAGACCAATGACATTAGGTGAACGGGAACGGAAGGTGAACATTGACAATGCCCTTGGTCGGAGCTCCGTCTCCATTGGTGTCAAAGTTCATGGTCGTTGTTAAAAAATTAAACCTACAAGAGAATGACCAAGAAGTTTGAACTCTGAAGGCTTCTCAAATTGAAAGGGCAAGGCGGTCATTACAAAAATTTATTGGGGGATCATTTGGTCAAGTAAATTTGCTTTTCCTAAATACCCAAAATGGCCTCTATATGGAACAAAACAAACCTTCCTGCCATCACTTTGACGGACAGAAGTTTTCTTGAGAACCCAATCTCCTGCGCATCAATTAATGACCCTATAATCCAATAACATGTAAGATTATTTATAAGTAAGAAGTTATGAGTTTAATTATGTTCTGTAACAACATGCTATTAGTGTTTTTCGTGCGTCAATAATTGATTGTTTTGGTCATATCATATTATCCATCATGTTCAGATGGAGTTTAAGTTTGAACCGGTATTAACACGCTTATTTGTAGGCACGTATTTAAATTGTATAAATTATAAAAAAAAAAGTATACATATGTCACCTGCCATCAAAAAGCATGTATGTGTTAACATGTGGATTATTAAAAAGAAAACAATATATTGATATAACGTCTATGAAATTCATGTTGACCAAAAAAAAAAGTTGTGAAATTCAATTCAATAATATAGAAAAACCACACAAACAAAAGGAGACCTAATATATCAACTTGTCAAATTTAATCAATAACCTTTAGTTAATGCATATGCGCACAAATGCAAGCATTTCAAAAATTGGCAAAGAGAGAGAGGTTGAGAAATCGTAAAAAGAAGCAATTCTTCTTAACCTATTAACCCTACTCTTTTTTCTTTTTTCCAACAACCTGTTAACCCTAAAATCTATATACTCTCCTGTTTCTATTGATTATATCAGAGAGTGAGTATTTTTTTTGGACATATTTATAAATCATGTCATTATTATATGAATATATAATATTATTCCTTTATTTATAGTATATAGATTTTGTTCTCATGAGGTATAGTGGATATTAAATAAGGAAAAAATTAAAAATTTAGTAAATTTTAAGATAAAATTAATGAAATTTAAAAGTTTTTATTAATTTCATTAAAACATATTAGAAAGGACTTACAAACAAAATTAGAAGAATAACTAATAAATAGGTTAGAGATACACTTGATACATTCAGAAAAAGATAAAATAACTATAAGAAAGCTTACTCCCCTTCGTACTTGACAAAAGATATTTGAACATTTTTTATTATTCTCATTAAAATGTTTTATAAAATTTAATAAAGTATTTATGAATTATTTCTAAGAAATAAGAATGCTTACATATCTAATTGGTTTGTTTTGAGGCCCTTAACTAATTTTAAGCATATTTTTTTAATCTGTATAATCTGATCAAAAGTGTTTTATAAATTGAAATGGAAGGAGTACTATTTATCCGTCACATGAAAGTTGGTCAAATTTCTTTCAATTACGTATAAAATTATAAATAACGTGAGACACACATATATTTAGCAAAAAGACCAAGGGAAAGGGGAAAAAAGAATTGAGAATCACACAAATAAGGAAATTAAACCCAAAAAAAAAATCTTTGATGTGCTACACACGTTAAGTGCCACGACGCTTTAATTACCATTGTCCAATTTATGGAAGAGTGATGTCCACTAATTAATTCAACTATTCATAAATGAAGAGGTGTAATAATAAGAAGAAAAACACTAAAGTCAAGTTACTTATATTCATTATATTAAGTTTTCTAATCACACGTATTCATGTGTTAATTTTTAACTCATTTTGATTTATAATTAAATACTAATATTTTAAAAATAAGACACAGGATCATATGTGATTAGAAAAAATGATTTAATAAATATGAAAAACTTAATATAAGTATTGTCCCGATAGGAAATATTCCATAAAATGTTTAATTAATTTTCAGCAAGAAAGAAGCGGGGCACAAAATCTAGAAGCTGCAGGGCACTAATACATCAAGAAAGCAGACGTAATCATATCACATATGCATACAATACATGTATGCCAACATTTGTATATTTATCCTTTTCAAATATTCCAAAATAACCCAAAAAATTTAGGGGGATTTTTTTTTTGGGGTTATACACATCTATTATCTTGTTAGAGGCAATTATATTTGAAGCACTGTTAGATACTAAATTATAGACACATTTTTCAAAGGGAGGAATTCGAATTCCTCATTGGTTATGGGAAAGTCAATTGTTTGTGATTAAAAATTAATATTATCATATGCTTATTAATGGCTAATTTTTAAGGAGTTCTCTTTTTTTTTTTTTTTTGCTAAAGCATAGGTATCCTTTTATTGGAGGCAATCCTATTCGAGACATGTCGGGCACTAAATGTGGACACCTCTTCCAGCAAGAATTCAAACCTTGATTCATTATATTATCAGGGACTAGTCCTTTCTGCTATACCCAATCTATGTTGGTTAAGATGGAGTTCTCACACCAACTTGTGCTCGTTACAACGACTAGAAAAAATATTTATTTATAGCCCAATCTCTTTCTGTATGGTCCCATAAATAGTTTGAGTAAAGGCCTATGATTCAGCCCATTCAATCCTTGGTCCATCTTTATCCAGGACTCTGAAGTCTTAATGTGGGCTGGAGTTTGTTGGGGTTTTACCATAGTATTTCCAGACTCTTAATTGTGTTTTTTTCAACAAAAAAAAAGAAGTTATGGTTGAGAAAACTAAGAAAAAGCGTAGTGATGATTACTACTCAGCGTCTTGGTGAAGACCAAGTAGATATATTCAGACATACATTTATATTAATAGCAACTACTCACTATTAAAATATACTACTCTGATTCCATTTATAAGTGACTTCCAGCATGCTTCACACAGATAAAAAAAAAACCTTAAACTTTATTAACTTTCATGTAAAATTTAACAACTTTTCAACTTTGTTCGTATTTAATATATATTATACTTCATGTAAATAAAGTCAACATAATAATAAATAAGAAGTAAAATTATACATTCAAACAAAAAATTTCTCTTAATATCTCATAAATAAGACTAAAAAATATCTTTTCTCTCTGCCTTATAAATAGGACCAGAGGAGTATCCTTTACTTCGTTTTATTTTAACATCTTTCGTTCAACTGAAAGAACTCAAGCACTCATGATAGTCAAGGAGATAGAACATGCAACCTCATGTTTAAGTAACCTAATGAAGTGTTTAGTCTCTCTGGTATATATTATAAATGCAATTTATTTTTCACACTGTATCTTTGCCAGAGATAGCTGGTCAAAAAAAAAAATCTTTGCTGGCGATAAAATTTAGTTGGCACAAAAAAATTAATTACGTCCTTTTTGGAGTTTTTGCTTCTTCTTTTTTCCTCTTACGCTGTTATATTAAGAATAATATTGGTTCATAGTTTACAAATCTTTTGTTTTTTAATAAACAAAATATGCCTGATTGTCGTAGAGGCACGAAATAAGGAAGGGAGAATGACAAAAGCCCACCATGAAAGAAATTTATTCTTTTTAACGTTTGTTTAGGTGGAAAGAAAATGAGGTAGAAAATCTCAGGAGAAAGAAGTTTTACCCTATTTGAGTGAAGAAGGGGAAATGAGAGGAAGGAAAAGTGAAACAGAAAATGAGATAGGTTTTACATCCATTTTAAATAATCATGAAGTAATTTAGAACAAACAGAAGACAACATCCACACATGCAGGTTGCATATAATTTTGATCCCACTTCAATTGCCTTGTTTTTGACACCTCATCAACTTATCTCATGTGCTACCTAGAATTGTTTTAGTCAAAATGGACCTGACTTAACAGTCGAGCAAACAATTCTATTAAAAAATAAATGTGAGAGTACCATTTTAAACGTGTTGGAAGTAAAATTACACCTTGAATCTTTGAATAATTTTATTATATAAAATGAAGATCACAAGACCCAATAAATAGAACACGATGGCTTCAATTATGTAACTATTCTCTTTGTTTGCGTGCTATTTTCATTCCAAAAAAAAAAAAAGATTAGTTATAATGTTTAAAAATTGTATAACTTTTCAAAACTATCCTGATATAACTAATTGGAGTGCAAAAAAGAGATGAAAAAACCATTATCTAGCCAAAACATTGACAGAGACAATAATAACTTTTGAAATGGGTTACATATATTTTACTAAATAATGCACAAGATCTTGCGTTAAAAAAAAAAAAAAAAGAACTAACATATGATGAATCACTTTTTGGTGGGATCAGTTTTCTAAAGAGCAAGGAGAGAAGAGATGAAGAAGAAAGTTCAGCACAATGTCTACAAAACTTATGTCTTATTTTTCTTTAAGTTTAATTCGCCTCTGCATATTATCTTATAGGATTTAAATTAGGTTGATCAGCAAATTTTTTTTAAGATATAATAAAAAAACGT